GAGACCGAAGAGAGAGAGAGAGCGCGCAGAGAGAGAGAGAGAGAGGAGAAAAGGAGAGAGAGACGAGAGAGAGGACTGTGAGACGAGAGAGAGAGAGTAAGAGAAGACGGCTGGACCCTGCACGCGCTGGAGGGATGTGACGCACGGCGCACCTCCCAATGCTAGCTGGCACGGGGTCGAGGCCAGGATTGACGGATCTATGAAATAGAAGCGACCACCTGGAGAGAGACGATGAGAAGAGAGAGACGAGAGAGAGAGAGAAGAAGAGAGAGAGTGAGAAGACGAGAGAGAGAGATGCAGAGAGAGGAGAGAGAGAGAGAGAGAGAGAGAGAGAGAGGAGAGGAGTGAGAGAGGAAGGAGAGAGAGGAGAGAGAGAGGGAGAGAGAGAGAGAGAGAGAGAGAGAGGAGATGAGAGAGGAGAGGAGGAGAGAGAAGAGCGAGAGAGAGGACGACGAGAGGAGACGAGAGAGAGAGAGAGAGAGAGAGAGAACGACGGGAGAGAAGAGAGAGAGAGAGAGAGAGAAGCGAAGAAAAATAAAAGGAAGCAACTATCAGAAAGATTATGAAAAAATAGAGAAACGAAGAAAGAATAAAATAACGAATCCCATTTTTAAAATTTGAAAAATACAGCGAAAAAAAGAAAGAAAGAGGACAAAAAAGACCATAAAAGGGACAAAAAAGACCAACAGAAACAAACAAAAACAAAACAAAAAAAAAGACCATAAAAGACAGAAACAAAAACAAAATACAAAACAAAAAAAAACCATAAAAGACAGAAACAAAACAAAAAACAAAAACAAAACAAGAAACAAACAAAAAAAAAAAAACTCACGCGTGGCATCCATGGCATCCGTTTTGAAGGTCAGGTCATCTTTGGTCAGTTCGTCTCGCACGGCGCCAACAGCTGATCGGGGGGGGGGGGGGGAGATTGAAGACGGGTTAGTACCTTGATGTTGATGATGATGGTGGTGGTTGTGGTGATGATGGTGGTTTGTGGTGTGTGGTGTGTGTGATGAATGGTGGTAGTGGTGGTGATGATGTGGTGTAGTGGTGATTGTGGTGATCGGGTAGTGTTGGTGGTATTGGTGCCTGTGGTGGTGGTGACTGTGGTGGTTGTGTGATGGAATGGTGGTGGATTGGTGGTGATGCTGGTGATGATGGTAGTGTGGTTGGTGATTGTGGTGATGAATGGTGGTGTAGTGGTGGTGGATGATGGTGATGAAGGGTGCAGTGGTCGGTGATGTGGTGGTGGTTGTGGTGATATATAGTGGTAGTGGTGGAGTGATGTGGTGACTCTGAGTGGTGGGTGGTGACTGTGTAGCTGTGTGGCGTGTGTGGTAGTGTTGGTGGTATTGTGGCGACTGGTAGCAGGTGGTGATGGTGATTATGTGGTGATGATTTGGTTGATAGTGGTGGTGGTGTGAGGTGACTGGTGGAGGTGTGTTAATGTATATGCTTATCTGTGATTATAAGTATGCCCATATCGTTACAGATGGTGGTGGTGATGTTAATGGTAGTGATGACGACTATGGTGGTGACTGAGGTGGCGATGGTGATGACACTATAATAATGGTGGGGATGACTACGATGCTGGTGGAAGGTAGATATCATAATAGTGATGATTTTGATAATCGTGATGGTGACGGAGATAAATTCTGAAAATACCATGAAATAATCACATCCTTTTCATTCCTGATTTGGTGGTGGTGTATTCAAGGAGAGAGAGAGAGAGAGAGAAGAGAGATAGAGGAGAGAGAGAGAGGAGAGAGAGAGAGAGAGAGAGGAGAGGAGAAGAGAGAAGATGAGATGAGAGAGAAATGAGACACACACACACTACACACACACACAACAGAAATGAGACACACACACACGTACACACCACACACAGATAATGACACACACACGTACAACACCACACACACAGAAAAAGGCACACCACCACAACAGTACACACACACCACACAAATGAGACACACACACACACACATGCCTCCTTTTAGCGTGGTCATCAACAACAGCCATATCATATTTGCGTATTGCTCCTGGTCGGTTTTAGGGGAAAGTGTGGGGCCGGGACGGAAGAAATCTCCGCCCAGCCGCAGGACAAACAGAAGCAAAGCACTGAAAAAGTATGAAAGAAATGAAACAACTTCGCGATCCAGAGATGTATTTAACCAGTTTTGATGTTCATCCTCGTTCACCGCCACGCCTTCTTACATTTGTTGCAATTGTATGCGTTTCAACATTTTTTTTTTTTTTTTTTTTTTTTTTTTTTTTTTTTTTAAGAGCGCTTGAGGACAACGCTCGAGAGACGCGGCGTGATTCTTTCTCTAATGATTAGTTAGTTTCCACATTCAATGATTATGTAATCTATGTTTTAAAATCATATGCAGAAATACCCCTATAATTAGATTTATGTGTTCTACCTGCATTGTTTACCACAGTTGTTTTTGAAACTTTTAGATATTTTCTAAAGTCGAAAAGTGAAATAACACAAAATGTTTTAGATTTTGTCTCAAATCAACACCGTATAACAACATTTTTTCATGGAAAAATCGTTGTTTTCTATTAACAGTCACTTCTATTACTTCTATCTTTTTATTATTTTACTTTACATTTAAGAAACTGAAACTGACAACATTGCCAACACAAACGTTTTTGCATACGATATCCGAACTTATGTGTTACATGAGATGTTACTCAGTTGAAATGCTATGTTGTCCCTTCACTAACTGCATTTTAGCGTGCTGCACAGCTGCCTCAGTAACTGACTATACTTCATATAATTCCAAGAAGTCAGATCTGCAATATGCTATAGTACCATCATCAAACTGTTGGGCTTTTTGGCGCGAGAGAGAATTGGATATGATAGCTGACGATCGACTAGCTTAATGATAAAACAATCGCACCGCGTTCCATTCGTCGCACAGAAGTTCCGTGATAGGTAGCCCCTCGGACTATATACCGACTGGTGTATAGTAGATTTACACAGATATCTCCTGACTGGGCTGTAAAGGACACGTGCCATTGGCGGCGATTTGCCGGTGGGACATAAGTGCACGAACAACCATATTCCATGTTCACTTCCCTCAACTTTAGTTGGATACTTTTCAAAGTCGTCGTGAAAGCTCGTGCGGACACTATCGCGATGAACCTCCCATAGTGCATCAAAAGGAGGCTGGCCGTTTTTGTGACTAACACTTAGCATATGTAACAATATGTAAGATATATTTCACACGCATAAAAGTCATGCACATATTACGGCTAATATCAGCCATTGTTACGTAATACTGTATCTATCGTATCCGAGTACCTAGTATACGAATATATATATATAGCATCAATATAACTAACTCATAATAATATACGCAACTCAGCCTATCTATATGAATAACTCCTCATATATACTTATATAACGCTATATGTACAATTTCGTTGCAAGTTCCGGGACGATTACTAAACATGATAACGTCGAGGAGTTATCATAGCTCTTTGATCAGACAAGCACATTCACAGCATACAACACAACACATCACGACACGAAACCTAACAACACTCACACCACGACACTATATATATATAATAAATAGTACGCTAATCTACTATAGTACATATATATATAGTTTTATTTTATTATTATCATACTATATATATATCCTATATATATATATAAACACACCTTTGGACTGTCTTGAAGAATTCGTTCCTCTTCATATTTTGTTTCCACATATAACCCACGTCATTAGGGCTATATACTAACTCTCATATAATATCATACCTATATATATATACTAATAATAGTACTAATGATATATATATTATTAATATATCTATTGTATGTGATCGACTGCTAAACTTTAGTCCCTGATCCATGCGCATACGTCATGATAAAACATGAGTTTCAGGGAGATCTCCATGGATGCTTCCCCCAAATCACAACAATATCTCCAAGAGGGAGCCTCTCTACTTCCTCGAATCACGCACACAACAAACGCTCTACGTAACACAAACACGGCCACCACACTTGCAACACGACACACGCACACATGCTAATACACGCGAGCACATCCCACCTATCGAATGGCAACAACAATGACGAAGGGCTCCAAAGCAATAGGCCGACAGCCGCCATTGACCCAGTAGGTTCACAATAAGCCATGACAGGGACTACGGTTGTCCCACGCACGTGGGATCATTACCCAACCAACCGCTCGTGCCTCCCCTTCGGGGATGGTGAGTGACCATGGTATCCGCGTGAGACGAGAATGAGCCCAGATTCTTCAGTAATTGATGGTATGTTGAGTGTGGTTGATACCTGGTCGCTTGCAAATAACATCTACCTGCTCGATAGACAAATGCTTTTGTTAATATTATATGAATGTACATGCTGATTACTATCATCCCCGATCACTCTCGCTCACATCTCCACCTCTTACTCATCTCTCTCTTCCTTTTCTCCTACTGCTCTTCACCCATTTCTCTGATCTCTCTTTCTCTCTCTGCCCTGTCTCTCTTCTCTCTCATCTCTCTCTCTCTCTCTCTCTCTCTCTCTCTCTCTCTCTCTCTCTCTCTCTCTCTCTCTCTCTCTCTCCTCTCTCTCTCTCTCTCTCTCTCTCTCTCTCTCTCTCTCCTCTCTCTCTCTCTCTCTCTCTCTCTCTCAACCGGTGCTCGACAACTCTCCAGCCCACCACTATCAAAACACACAACATAAACAAAACTTGAACCTTGACCTCACCTTATCCCCCACAGACTGGTCGCGGTGACCTCTCAGTAGCACTTCTACGTCGAAGTTGACCTCCGTATTCGTGGTGTCCTTGTAGGTCACGCTGCTGAACCTATCGAGGATGTTCTGCAGTTCTGGGACAGTGCGCAGGGTCGGCAGGTAGGAATCCAGCTGTTCATTGTAAGGTTATTTCCATTATTTAGTAGGACTATTACTATGGCTATTGATATTAATATTATCATTATCATCAATATTACCAATTGTCGTTATCAATATCATCATTATCATTATCATCATTATTCTCCTTCTCATTCTCATCCTCATCATCATCATCATTATTATTCATTATCATCGATCTTCATCATTTCATCTCATTATCATCATTCTATTATCATTTATCACATTCTATCATTATCATTATCATTATTCATTATCATTCCATCATCATATATTATCTTATCATTATCATCATTATTACATGAGTTAGTTCCAATATGAAGTTATTATTAGTGTTCAAGTTTAACGACAATATTATTAAAAAGTCAAGTTTTGATGCAAGTTCAGATGATAACGGTGATTTCTATGTTAATACAGGGTTAATGTCAAAACAAAATTCATATCAGCGTTGGTAAATAAAATTCATTTATCAATAAAGGGTTAACATCAGTACAAAGGTGATAGCAATGTTAACAGACAAGAATCACTTGGCAGTACAGGATAATACTTAAACACACGAATATGCAGAAGAAACGTTTCGCTATATACTGACGAAGCATTAGCGAAAAGGCTTCGCATATTCGTGTGTTTTCTTGTCCTTCCCTTCTTGTTCCTGTTGCAATTCGCTCGACATGAATTCCACACAAGGCTGACACTAACACAAAATCAATGTCAACGTCAGTAAATAAAATTCGTAAGCTAATACAGGTTAAAGACAAGACGAAATGAATATCAACCTCTCTCTCTCTCTCTCTCTCTCTCTCTCTCTCTCTCTCTCTCTCTCTCTCTCTCTCTCTCTCTCTCTCTCTCTCTCTCTCTTCTCTCTCTCTCTCTCTCTCTCTCTCTCTCTCTCTCTCTCCTCTCTCTCTCTCTCTCTCTCTCTCTCTCTCTCTCCTCTCTCTCTCTCTTTCTCTCCCCTCTCCCTCTCCCTCTCCCCCCTCCCTTCCCCTCCCCTCCCCCTCCCCCCCTCTCCCCTCTCCCCTCTCCCCCTCTCCCCCTCCCCCTCTCCCCCTCTCCCCCTCTCTCCCCCCTCTCCCCCTCTCTCTCCACCCTCTCTCTCCCCCTCTCCCTCTCCCTGTCCCTCTCCCTCTCCCTCTCCCTCTCCCATCAAAATCACCATTCAGCGAAGCCACAGGGGACTACTTACCGTGGCCGAGATATTGCTGGCGAGTGTGACCTGGTTTTCAGCGGTTCCAGCGAGCGTCACCCAGTCGGCAGAGGTCACGGACACCACCATCTGAACGCGGGTCACTCACTGGTAGGAGAATCAGAGAGTTAGTGTTAAGGGAAGGAAGGGGAGGAGAGGGAAAGAGGAGGAGGGGGAGGGGAAGAGAAAGGAGGAGGAGGAGGAGGAGGAGAAGAGAAGAGGAGGAGGAGGAGAGAGGAGAGAAGAGAGGAGGAGGAGGGGAAAAAGAAGAGGAGGGAGGAGGAGGAGGAGGGAGAAGAAGAAGAGAGGAGGAGGAGGAGGAGGAGGAGTAGAGGAGAGGAGGGGGGGAAGGGAGAGGAAGAGGAGGGGTAGGGGAAGAGGGGTAGAGGAATGGGAAGGACGAAAAGGAGGAGAACGGTGGTGAGGGGGGTGAAGATGATGATGCTAAGGATAATGACAATGGTGATAATGATAGTGATAACAATAATAATAATGATAATAATAATAATAAAGTAATAATAACAATAACTATAACAACGACAACAGGAAGAGTGATAATAACAATAATAATAATAACAACAGCAAAGGAACAGCAACAGCAGCAGCAACAACAACAACAATAATAATAATAATGATAATGATAATAATGATAATAATAGTAATAATAGTAATAATGATAATAATTGCATTAACAACAACATAAAAATGGTAATGATAATGATAAAATACTGATAAAATGATAATGACAATAATCACGATGATAATGATGATGACAATAAAAACAATAAAGAATAGTAATGATAATAATAACAATGATAACGATAATAATAATGAACATGATAACAATAACGATAATGATAATAATAATGATAATGACAATAAAAACGATAATGGAAATGATGACGATAACGAGAATGATACTAATGATAATAATGATAATGATAACAAAAATAACAACATAAAAGTATCAACAACAACAGCATCACCATCAACAACAACAACAACAACATCAATAACAATAACAACTGTCAAAACCCAAAACCCCCGACTATGACGTCACGCCCCGTCGGAAAAGAGCGACTCACCATCCTCGCAGAAACACGATTGGAACACGTCGCCGGCTTTCGGTTTCACGCCCACGTACTGGTTCGCGGGCGGGCTTGGGGGCGGGTCGAAGGCGGCGATTTTGGCCCGTAGAGTTTCGTCGAATTCCGAGACGCAGTAACAGCGGTCGAGGTCGTAGGCGCGCGTTGAGGTCGACACTGGGGGGAGAGAGAGAGAGAGGGGTTGAGATGGAGAGGAGAGAAGGAGAGGAGATGGGAGGAAGGGAGAGGAGGGGAGAGAGAGGGAGAGGAAGGAGAGGAGAGAGAGGGAGGAGGGAGAGGGAAGGAGAGGAGAGGAGAGGAGGAAAGGGGGAAGGAAAGGGTTGAGAGGGAGGAGAGAGAGGGAAGGAGAGGGGTTGAGATAGAGAGGGAGAGGAAGGAGAAGAAGGGTTTGAGATGGATAGGAGAGGAGGGGAGGGGAATGAGAGGGATTGAGATGGAGAGGAGAGGAGGGAGGGAGGGAGGGGGGAAGGAGAGGGGTTGAGATAGAGAGGGAGAGGGAAGGAGAGGGTTTGAGATGGAGAGGGAGAGGAGGGGGAGGGAATGAGAGGGATTGAGATGAGAGAGGGAGAGGAGGGGGAGGGAGGGAGGGGGAAGGAGAGGGTTGAGATGGAGAGGAGAGAGAGGGAAGAGAGGGATTGAGATGGGAGAGGGAGAGAGAGGGGAGGGAGGGAGGGGGGAAGGAGAGGGTTGAGACGGAGAGGGAGAGAGAGAGATGAGGAAGGAGAGGGGTTGAGACGGAGAGGGAGAGGAGAGAGAGGGAAGGAGAGGGTTGAGATGGAGAGGAGAGAGAATAGAAATAAAAGAGAGAGAGAGAGGGAGTGAAAGAGATAGATGAAAGAGAGAGAGAAGAGAGAGAGAGAGAGATTAAAGAGATAGGAAGAGATAGTAATTATCTACACAAATTATCTACACATACATTTATTCCAATAGCAAAATTCCTTTTTAAGAAAAAACAAAATCAAAAACAAAAAAAACAGACAAATAGAATAACAACCCGACAAAAGAAAGAAGGAAATGAACAGCAGAAAAAACGAGAAAGCAAAGTAAGAACAGACAGACAATAAAACAAACAGACGAATGCAAAAAAAAAAAAAAAAAAAAAAAACGATATATATATAACTCACACGTCATGAGCAGAAGGAGGAGGGCGCTGTCTGCTGAGACGAGACCCGCCATCTCCTGCTCCTGCTTCGACTCCTGCTTCAAAATAAACAAATTAATAAATAGATGAAAGTTTCATTAAAAAATAATCTCGTTATCTCTTAAAAATTATATCATACTTTCGAGCTGTGTGAAAATTGCCTTCGCATTCCGTGTATCAGCTGTGTGTTTTACCGCATGGATGTTATCCTCCTTCTGTTTATCACAACTTTCCATCTGGTATTGTTTCTCTTATTTCCGTCTGTTTTGCTCTGTTCTTCCCCCTTCGTTTTAGCACCAATTCCCATTCATTCCATTATCCTGATTGACTATAGATCATAATCTACACCATTATCACCACCATCATTACGATTACTTTTGTGTTACTTTTTACAATTATTTTCACTATTCATATTCAAATTACAATATAACAAGTACTGTTAATTTGTGATTGAAATGAGACCATGAAATCAGTCTCTGGCATAATTTTCAATGTCCAAATGGAACTGAGGTACATAACAGCCATAAACAAGTGAAAATCAACAGTTCAGAAGACTACATGTTGAAGCCATAAAGACACGAGTTAATGAAACGTGGGGTTGAAGCCCGTAGAGTTATCACAGCCGACCCTCCCCATCGACAGTGGAAGAATGACTTGACCAACGAATCGGTGCATAGCAAGAATGATCAAACGCTTTGGTATCGTTACGCCCTGTAGTAATGATTAATAATGATAATAATAATAATTGATCATAATGATTTAGTTGTACTTCATTTCTTACAGTGTTTATTCTCGTCGAGACAGGCTGGCCGTTTCATTTCGCTTCTAAATGACCCCCTGTGTAGAGGAATGGCCGGGCTTACCATCCCCTTGGGTGCGGGATTCGAACGCGAGGAAGCAAGATGTCAGACGAGAAAGCTGACGTTACACCATACACGCAATGGGTTAGATGACCATTACCCTCTCCCAGTCCTCTTCAAGTTATGCGAAGTTAGAGGAATAAACAAAAATATGATCCATTTCATCTGTAAATTATTATTTTTTTTGGTAACTATTAAGCAAAATATCTTTGATTAAAAAAAAAAAATCAAAATCAAACTGTTATTCCGTTCCATTTCAGTGCAATCATCTATTTATCTATTCATTCATTTATCACTATTCTTCATACTGCGAAGAACCATTACTTTTCGAGTCTCTCTTTTCCCTCCTATAATCAGCTTAATCACCTCCGCGAGGCCAATTCAACGCCTAGCCCGAGAGCCACAGATCAACAGCACAACCTCATATGTTGTGGTGAACGTGACTCACACCAAGGCCTCAGACAAATGAAAAATCGACAATGCGAAAGACACGTTGCGGCCACGGCGGTACGAGTAAGTGAAACGTGGCGCTGTTGTCCGCAGAGTTATCACACCAGAATGAAGATGGGTTGATTATGCTATCGGTGGTATAGTAATGGTAATATGAATGGTGATGATAGTGATGTTGATGATGATGATTTTAGGAATGGAGTCATAATGATAATGATGAAGGCGATGTCAGCAAATGATTATGATGATGATGAAGAATGTTATGAACAAAGATATTAATAATTCTGATGATAACATTGATAATACTAATAGCATAACAATGATAAAAGCAATAACGATAATGATAGTGTCATTGATAACGGTAATGATAATGATAATAATAATCATATCAATAGTAATAATAATAATAATTAGAACAATAATTAAATCATAATAATGTTAATAATCTTACAATGAATAAGATCAATCATCATGATAATGATATAAAAGACAATAATAATAATAACAAAAATATAAAAAATAATGCAGTTCTGATAGCAATAATATTCAAATGTTAATGATAATACAGATAACATTAATAATAAGTATCATGATCATGCTGAGGATACTGATCGGGACAATGATAGTCTCAATGCTGCCAACTTCCCATCATGCAGTCAGTACACCAGCCATAGCCCTCGTCTACACACACATACACATACACACATACACGTACACTATCATCCATACTGTAAAGGTTCATTACTTTTCGAAACTGTCTCTTTTCCCTTCTATAATTAGTTTCATTACCACCACACTCACACACATACACACGCACGCACATGCCACACACACACGCATACACACACACGCACAACACACACAACACACACACACACACACACACACCACACACACACACACACACACACACACACACACACACACACACACACACACACACACACACACACAACACACTGCGCACACACACAACACACACACACACACACACACAACAAACACACACACACACACACACCACACACAACACCACACACACACACACACACATACACACAGCACGGCGCGCACACACAAACAACACACTGCGCACACACACAAACACACACGCTGCACAACACACCACACACACACCACAAACACACACACACACAAACACACACAAGCACACACACGCACACACACACACACACACACACACACACACACACACACACACGCACATACACACACACACACACGCAACACACACGCACACACACACACACACACACACGCACACACACACACACACACGCGGGCCGCGCACACACACACACACGCACATACACACACACACACACGCGCACACACACACGCACACACACCAACACACACACACACACACACGCACACACACACGCCACACACACACACACACACACGGAGAATAAAGGGAGTGAACAGAGAGAACGGGATAGAAATAGATAGAAAACGGAGAAAGCGATAATAACGGCAATAAGTGGTGATAATGATGATGAAAGAATAATGATAATGATAACAATATTGATGATGGTGATATTAATGATGGTGGTAATAATAAATAGAGAAGAGGGGTAGGGAGAGAAGAAGGAGAAGGAGACAGAGGAGGAGGAGGAGGAAAAAATAAATAACATGATGAAGAAAAGTAAGAATAGAAGGAAACAGAGGATAAAGAAAGAAATTGAATAAAAACAATAAAAAAAACAAAAAGGAAAGAAAAAAAGAAAAAAACAACAATAAAACAAACAAAAAAATGTAAACAAAAGAGGAAAGAGAAAGAAAAAAAACAATAAACAAACAAAGGGAAAAGAAAAAAAAAACAATAAAACAAACAAAATATAAAACAAACAGAAAAGAGAAAGAGAACAAGGAAAAAAGCGAAGACGATCCACACACAAAGACACGAAAATCCCCGAGACACACGGAATGGAACACGAACACAGCATAAATCTTTTTTTTTTTTTTTTTTTTTTTTTTTTTTTTTTTTTTTTTTTTTTTTTTTTGGCCATAAACTTTTTATTTATCACTGTTTCTTTTCCTGCGTTTCGGTCGTGATTTCATTATATTTTCGTTTTTTGATCGTATTATCATTATTATGATTATCATTTGTTTTCATCATCTTAAATCAATGTTAATATTTAAAATGTCAGTATTATTATTATTATTGTTGTTATTATTATTATTACCTTATCATTTTTATTATTATACTCATTACTGTTTATCTGTCTGACTGCTCGCCCCTTATCTCTCCTCTTTTTTCTGTCTCTCTCTCACAATCCTCTCTCTCTCTCTCTCTCTTTCTCTCATCTCTCTCTCTCTCTCTCTCTCTCTCTCTCTCCTTCTCTCTCTCTCTCTCCTCTCTTCTCCTTTCTCTCTCTTCTCTCTCTCTCTCTCTCTCTCTCTCTCTCTCTCTCTCTCTGTCTCTCTCTCTTCTCTCTCTGTCTCTCTCTCTCTCTCTCTCTCTCTCTTTCTCTTTCTCTTTTCTTTTTCTTTTTGTTTCTCTTCTCTTTCTCTTTTCTCTTTTCTTTTTCTTTTTCTTTTCTTTTCTTTTCTTTTCTTTTTCTTTTTTCTTTTTCTTTTTCTTTTCTTTTTCTTTTTCTTCTCTTTCCTTTCTCTTTCCTCTTTCTCTCTCTCTCTCTTCTCTCTCTCTCTCTCTCTCTCTCTCTCTCTCCCTCTTTCTTTCTCTTCTCCCTCTTTCTTTCTTTCTCTCTCTCTCCCTCTTTTCTTTCCTTTCTCTCTCTCTCTCTCTCCTTCTGTCTTCACGACTTAATCTAAAATCCCGATTAAGATGAAAGACAAAGAAGAAAAGAAAAAAAAGAAAGACAAAGAAGAA